TTGTAGGAGTGTGGAACGAGCTGCCCGGCCATGTTGTAGAAGCTGATACCCTGGCTTTCAAGAAACGGCTAGATGAGACTGTCAGATTAATTTCCTGCTAACTACCACATGGGCCTGGTGGGCTGAATGGTTTCCTATCACTATCACATGATTGGAGCAGATCTATAGTCCACTGTTCACCTCTTCAGTGATCCCCTGTTCAGACAGCACCTGTAGATCTATAGCTCACTGATCACCTCCTCAGCACACCCCTGTTCAGACAGCACTTGTAGATCTACAGTCTACTGATCACCTCCACAACACTCCCCTGTTCCTCGGCATGTAAATATACAGTCTATTCTGCAGCCTCCTTATTTCAACAGCAAAGGAATAACCATGAAGACATTTAAAGCAAACACTTCCTTCATTTACTGTGAAACTGAATTCTTTACTCAAATAAAGACTGGCCTTTGTCTGAACGCCCTGAACTGATCTTCCGAGGTCAAGACTTTGGGTCCTTCACTCAAAACACTTAGCTGCTTAACACCACATAGCAAGCAACAGACTCTTAAGCAGCTACGAGTATGGGGCCCCTTGCATCTGAAATGTTGTCTCCCCTTTGCTTCCGTAGTCAAAATAGATTTTATTCTGTTTGAGAGGTTGGTGAATTTTGTGCCGCTACACTCATTGTTATCTGCTGAAGAGTGCCATGCTTGTCCTTGTTTGGATCTGACTTTGTTTTTGTACAGTTTTGTATCAGAACTTTCTGGTTGCAACCTTACCACCCTGCATCCTGATCTCATCAAGTCTCAGAAGCTACACAAAGCTGGACCTGGTCAGTACTGGTCAGAGGGAGACCTCTGAGGAAATACTGGGATGCTATGGTACACTGTGTAGGTGGACCAGTAGGTGGCCCTCTTTCCTCTATACCGCGGTTCCCCAATCAGTGCCCCAGTGCGCTGTGGGTGAGATGTTAAATTGAGGTTACTGAGTCCTCAAAGAACCCTGGGTAGTGTTCATGAGAGTAGGAGTGGTAACCCCAGTTTCCTGGTAAATTCTCCACTTGACTTGTATAACCTTGCCTCCCTCCTTCCTGTCCCCCTTAATTCGGTTGGCAGAGTAATTTCCCACGTCTCTAACTGGTCTGCTGTGCAGTAGGGCTGCTGGTGCAGAATACCAGCTGTGCGTCACCCATGTTTGGCTGCACTTAAGTGAGGGGTGAGGAGGATCACCTCCTGGGTGAAAAATGCTTTCGGATTTCTTTTCCTTTGGGAAGAAAAGACTTATGAATAACTGCAAGGACTTCTTATGGCTCACATCAAAAGCATTTTCCTAAAAACAGATGTTGTCCCTCGCCCATGTCATGCTGCTCCCTTATGTTAAGACGTATTAGAACAAGTGTGTGATGGGACTGCAGTAAAGGTTACTTCAGCTTCCTCCTCACGGATACAGGCATGTGTTTATAGATATTTGCACACTGCAATGGCCTCAGTGAGCATCTGAGAGCGCTGGGCTGCTGGGATCATGCCCTCTCCTGGCACGCTGGATAATTGTCCCCAGTGTGTGTGTGTGTGGGTGTTCTGCATCTATCACTCCATCACTAGACAGGGATAATTACTGCAGGAGCACCGACTTCCTCCCCACAGCCCAGCCTGCACAAGAGGCATCACCCTGATGAAGGGCTGATGACCTCTTGCCCAAACACTGCCCTTCCTTCCACAGACCTCACGCCTCTCTGAAACAGAGCTCCCTGCCTTTGATTTTGGCAGCCAGATTTGTGATCTTGAGACACTCAGACAGCTCCCCACGTAGCCTCCCTCCCCCCCCCGAGGATGCAAGCCTGCCCTCCCCTGAGCACACAACACCGATTCAGGGTACTTCAACCAGGGTCCCAGCTGATCAGCAAGGCACCATGTGCGGTGCAGGAGTGCGTGACTTCACACATGTGTGTAACTCCATGCCTGTGGACACATGGGACTACATGTATGTGCCACTCAACACCTCAGATGAGTGTTGGTGGGGTTCAGCACTGACCTGCATTCACTCATGTGTGCTATAATCCAGTCACAGGTCTTAAGAGCCCTGCATCTTTCATTAATTCACATGAATGTGTTCCTTCTGTATCAGTCAATCCGATTGCTTGTTCGGACAGAGTCTTTGTAAGAGGATGAGCTCATCCCCTCTGCTGGCAACGCGCTGGTCCCCACGTCTCGTTTTCCTCAGGAGGCTGGGAGAAGCAGCCGGGAGCGCCCGTGTGGCAGTTACATCATCAACCCCTTCCAAACACTTCAGCTTTATTGCTTTCTGTTCCAACCCGCTGCTGCTTCACGCGATTAACAGTGCGGTGTTTCGAAACAAGTCACAGGGGGTGAGAACGCGGCAGCCTCTATCCCAGGCTGCTGGGGGCGCTCCAGTGACTCCGAGAGGGAAGGAGCCAGGAGCTGGGAATCTCTGGAAACAAGACCTCAGCCTTTACCACTGGCCCCTGGTCCCTAGAGGCACGGGGGTGCTGTTTCACTCAACATTTGGCGTGGGTGCAGGGAATGCTTGCGGGGAACCCCTTACCACTGGACACTGGTGCACTTTGTGGGGGGCAGGAGGGAGATGGGGGGGTACTAGTGGTAAATGCTTGGGAGGAGGGCAGATGCGTTTTCTGGGGGGGGCTGGCTCTCATTTTACATGAACAATAACTTGTTTTATTTACCATACGGGAAGGTGCAGAGGCTCTGTGGCCAAGGATCTGGGGCTGGAAGGTTGCCGGTTCCAATCCCGTGGCCGGCAGAGGAATCCTACTCTGTTGGGCCCCTGAGCAAGGCCCTTAACCCCAACTGCTCCAGGGGCACCGTATAAATGGCTGACCCTGTGCTCTGACCCCCAGCTTCTCTCCCTGTCTGTGTGTCTCATGGAGAGCAAGCTGGGGTCTATTAAAAGACAAATTCCTAATGCAAGAAATTGTATATGGCCAATAAAATGATCTTATATTAATAACATTGTAATATAATATATGGTATGGTAATATATTATATTAATAATATGTTTTTTTATTTAGGTGGGCAGCCCTTTCTGCAGTCACGAGTCGTCTCCTCTAGGGGGCCGGGGATCCCCCAACCCAGGAAAGAGCAGGGAGGTGCAGCCTGATGTCACGCGCACTGGCAGCCAGCACGGGCGGCCACATTTCAGGGGGCTCCATTTTCAGACCGACGCTCGCTGGCCTGGCTCAGGCTTGCCACTCCGGCCACTTGAAAAGAGTGCGTGGAGCCCGGCCCACCGCCGCGGGGTTCGAGAGCAGTCAGCACACACTGACATATTTCACATGTGTACGTACAATTATGGAACTTAGAACATATTAAAGACATATATTACATACAGTATATGTCCTGTGGATGATATAGGAAACTGTGGTCTTATCTGTCAGATCCTAGGACTATTGTAACCATAACTATGGTGCAGAATGGCCGCTGTGTGTCTCCCAGGTGGGGCTGCTGGGGCAGAATGACCGCTGTGTGTCTCCCAGGTGGGGCTGCTGGGGCAGAATGACCGCTGTGTGTCTCCCAGGTGGGGTTGCTGGGGCAGAATGGCCGCTGTGTGTCTCCCAGGTGGGG